GGGGAGCAGTGAGGGTGGGGTCAGTTCTACTCTGGGGGGGCAGTTAGGGTGAGCTCAGCTCCACCTGGGAGGCCGCGTGGCCCAGGCCTGGCCTCCCCTCACCTGACTCCCGCGTGCGGCCGCGCAACACCTCGCTCCAGGGCCCGGCCCCGATGGCGTTGAAGGCCTGCACCTGCACCTCGTACTCCGTCCACTCCTCCAGCTCCTCGATGGTCAGCTCTCTCTCCAGCCGGTCGCTGACGACGTGCGCCCGCGCGGGGGCCCGCAGGTCCGGGCGCCAGTACTTGACCCTGTAGCCCACCGACTCGGGGTTCCCGTTGTACTGGGAATCGGGCAGGGGCTGGGGGACAGTCCGTGTGAGCTGACGTCTCAGCCCCGTCCCTGCCGGGGCCCCGGGTGGGCCTGTCTTATGGGCCAAGTCCCTGGACAACCTTTTCTGGGGGGATGTGCTCAAACACGGGTCCCGGGAACTTCCCTCTGTGAACCTGGCCGGACCTGATTTCTCTGACCACACCCTGGCTTCGTTTTGGGGGGGATGTTCCGATGGAATGTCAAGCTGGCGCCCTTACAAACAGTTCCGTGTGGCCCAGACCCAGGGCGCACAGCCCGCCCCGCATGGGCTCCCCCCCAGGCCGCCGCTCGGCTCCAGGCGCCGTGAGGAGCGCCCCCGATGAACTGAGCCAGGCAGGTGGCACCTTGGGGCTTAACCAGGAGATAGGCCTGGACCGGGACAAAGGCAGGGCGGAGAGACCAAGCCCTGGGTGCATGCGTGCCCTTGGGGGCCCCAGGCCCCCGCCTGCAGCCCCTCGCCACCCAACTTACCACCCAGCGCAGCCGCAGGCTGGTCTCGCTGGCGGTCCGGACGGTGACGCTGGACGGAGCCACGTCCGGGGGGGCCTGCAGCGTCTGGATGACCCGGGAGGACTGGCTGAAGGGGCTGGCCCCCACCACGTTCTCCTGCCTCATCCGGAACCTGGGGGCACGACAGTGAGAGCAGAGGGCAGCGTGGGAGACAGAGGAACCAGGAGAACCCCCAGGCTGCTTGGGGAGCTCAGGCGTGTGTCTACCTGTATCCTAGGCCCATGCTCAAGGGCGCCCTCTCTCTACCTGGTTTCATTAAAAATGTAAATGATAGCTTTAGCCGGTTTGGCTCAGTGGGTAGAGCATCGGCCCTCAGACTGAAGGGTCCCGGGTTCGATTCTGGTCAAGGGCATATACCTCGGTTGCAGGCTCCATCCCCAGCCCCGTGAGGGCATGTGCAGGAGGCAATCAGATCAATGTGTCTCTCTCACATCGATGTTTCTCTGTCTCTCCCCCTCCCTTCCACTCTCTCCAAAAATCAATGGAAAAATATCCTCGGGTGAGGATTAACAACAAAAAATTGATTGTTGACCCTAATGACTATGCATTATTCTATAATAAAAATATTTTAAAAATGCAAATTACATATCTGGTCTTTTTCCCTGAAAGACCTCAAAGCATGGTAATCTGCAAATCAGCGGTTTCAAGTTCCCCCAGAAGCGTGACTGGGTGGGTTCCGTGGCCAGGGATGTGTGCCGCCAGCTGCCAGTGGCTGGTGCAGGGGATCGGAGTTCAAGCAGCTGTTAACAGATGGAGCGTCAGATTGTCACACCCAACGCCAGCTCTGAACGTCCAATGTCTCTTCGACGACCCAGGGCCCCGCGGCCCATTCCCGCCCGTTTGGGTGAGAACGCCAGGTTCGACCGGTCGTCCCCGGTCTGCAGGGTGAGGGTGGGGCCAGATGTTCTCTAAGCCTGTGTCCATGTCCTCAGCCCTGTCTCTCCTGCATTCAGATCCACACCTTTTTTAACTGAACTTACACACAAGGAAAACATCTGATGTGCACACACGTCCTTGTTACCTACAGAGGCTTCCTAACTTTACACGCGGCTGAGACAGGGACACGGGTCTCTAACGGCAGCTTCTTTTTTAAAAATATTTTTCTGGATTTTAGAGAGAGAGGAAGGGAGAGGCAGAGAGAGACGGAAACGTCGATGAGAGAGAAACATCGATCGCTGCCTCCTGCACCATCCCAAATGGGGACCAAGCCTGCAACCGGGCATGTGTCCTCACCAGGAACTGAACCAGTGACCTCTCGGTGCGTGGGACAATGCTCAACCCACTGCGCCACACTGGCCGGGCTCTAACTGCAGCTTCTGATCTTAGAAATCACCACGTGGCCGACACCGATTTCACCAGGGGAGTCGTGAATCCCGGTGGCTGGGCTCACGCTCAATGTTTTCCCTAAAAACGAGTGTGTGGCGTCCTGAACCGTCTGCTCCCACCTTCGGGAAAGGTTAAAGGGAACAGACGCTGAGCAGTCGCTCCTGCTGGGTTTTTGTTTGGAGTCTGACTTTGCTGCTGGACCGAGAAGTGTTCTTTGCAAGGACGCCGCCCCTGCTCCCTCCCCAGCTGCGGAGAGGCTCGTCCAGGCAGGACAATGGCACCATCCAGCTGCACCCGCGGCGATAACGGGAAATTGCATCGCCCTCGATCATCTTACGGGAAGTTATAACCTCGCTAACAGCTCATCATCACGCTGCCCTTCGTGAAGGCCAAGGATTTACGCCTGCACTGTTTCAGGGTCGAGAAGCAGAAGGTGAAATGGCACGTTAAGTGCTGATCAGTGAGACCGGCAGCCCCTGGCCGAGGGGGAGCAGTGGGACGCCCCTTTTGACCAGGAGTTTTGTAAAGAAAAGCAGCACATGCCTGGCCGGTGTGGCTCAGTGGTTGAGCATCGACCTATGAACCAGGAGGTCACGGTCTGATCCCCAGTCAGGGCACATGGGGGGCGTGCAGGAGGCAGCCTATCAATGATTCTCTCTCATCATTGATGTTTCTATCTCTCTCCCACTTTCTTCCTCTCTGAAATCAATAAAAAAAAATATTAAAACAATTTTAAATGAAAAGTAGCTCGTGTCTGACTGCACACAGTGAGCCGTCTCGACAGGGCGCCCTGCCAGCTGGTGTGGACGGAAGGGTCACTGTCAGTCTGGCATCGGGGACAGACCTCCCTGGAAAAGACTCAACTGTGCACCTTGCTCCCGCAGCTTCAATTTTCCATTCTTGCCCCTTAGAGACGTCTCACATGCACCCTTGTGCAGACAGCGCCCCCTGGTGGAGGGCTGCACGTCTCACCTGTAATGAGTGTAAGGCGTGAGGTTTGGGATCTCCAGTGTCTGGGCATCTGGCTCATTCTCCTCCTCGTACAGGCTGACCCACTCCTCCTCGTCACCAATGGCTCCCACCTGTGGAGAGGGACCTCCTGGGACTGCTGGACAGCCGCAGGGCAGAGGCCACGGTGGGTGGGGCTGGACGAGCCCCCCGGGGCCCCACACGCCCTGCACACACACCTCCCACTCGAGCTGTGGAGACGTGGGTTCCTGCTGTTCCCACCTTGGTCAGGACCTGAAGCCTCTGGGGGTGACCGGGGCGGAGAGGACTCATGCCATCCTGTCCTTCCTCCCAACTGACAGTGGGAGAAGACGTGGCCAGGACCCCACGTGACCCCGGTGGCCGAGCGTCCTCACGGAGGGTCCAGACCATTCCCAGCACATCTGACCAGGGCTCTGTCTGTCCTGCTTGCACCAGCCCTTTCTGCCCAACACACGGGAGACACCAGCGAGGCTGGGCCCTGGGAGGGCCTCACAGAGAAGGGCTCGCCGCTGCCCGGAGCCAGACCGGCAGGCAGCCCTTCCGGTCAGAAAGCCGCCTCCTGCAGAGCTGACTCCCGCACACACAGCCCACCGACCAGCTCCCGGGTGCCATGCAGGCCTCCTGCTTCTGCCTCATCCGGCCTCTGGAAGTGGCTTCACGCCTCCGACCCGCGTGAGGCCCCGAGCCACCCGCTCATGACTTCCTGTGCTGCCCGAGTGGCTGCTAGTCCTGCCCACAGAGTCTGACCACAGGACTCGCCCGGCCGTGCAGGCGCCGGGGGCCGACCCAGCAGGAGAGCCCAGGGCCCACCCGGACCTCAGGCCACCAGGAGATCCTCGGAGTTCCACCCTGCAGGTGCCCGCCTCCCGTCCCAGGCCCTCGTGGCACCTGGGCAGGTGTGAGGCTCTGGGACCCAGAGGACAGGTGCAGAGCGGGTCTGAGCCCGGAGTCAGGCCCCACGGGCTGTGTCGAGGCCGGCAGTCGGGGCCTGGGCCTCCACATCCATCCCAGACCGACACGACCACACGGGAACCTGCTCATCACGTCTGCGAGGGAGCAGGCTGGAGGGGGGCCGGGGCCAGAGGGTGGCACAGGAATGCGAACGACCTAGGGACGTGGAGAAGGGCGTGAGGACGAGGAGGAGACAGCAAACGCTAAAGGAACTAACGCAGACACAACCCAACACGCTCTCAGCTGAGACACAAAAGCAGCTCCGCAAAAGCTACAGACTGTCCAGGTCCGCACCCCAGACAGGAAACCAGTCCGCGAACAGCACAGCGCGGCCCAGCAGCCGAGGGCGCAGGCGGTGTTAGGCGAGGGTGGAGGGACCAGCACCGTGGTCACCCCGCAGCCACAGGCCGGGAAAGGAGTGGGTGCGGGTAACGTGACCTCGGGAACACGGAGGAGCCAGGCCTGTTCCTCAGCCGGCGCGGCCCCTGGGGGAGTGCACTTGGGAGACGACAGCGTCACTCTACAGCCCTGGCCTCTCGGAGGAGCTGTCACCACGAAGGACCTCCTGGGCACGGCCGGGCGGGGCCCCTGAGCACCTTCCCTGCGGCCCCGGGCCGGCTCCCCCCGCTGCTCTAGCTGCCAGCCCAGCCCTCGGCAGAGGGAGCCCGGCCAGCGGAGCCCACCACCCTCCGGAAATCCTTTCGAGCCAAGGGCTGCTCTTATGCACAAATGAGCACTAAGTGGGCTTTTCTCCCTCCATCTCTCCCTTTCAGATGCAGTTTCCTCTGCTCCCGGAGTGCCAGCGCCCGCGGAGCAGCCTGGAGAGGCCGGCGCAGCGCGGGCCATTAGAGCCTCGAATGGCGGGTCGGCGGGGACTGCCAGGCAGCGGGAGCCAGATGAACACGGGCATTAACACTCTCCCCGTTATGGGCGTCGAGAGAGTGTGGGGAGGGGTGTTTTGCTCACTAGGGTCAAAGGTGACTAATTAAGCAAAGCATTACTGAGCCAGAAACACCTATAAAAGCTGCTCTCCACAATGTGCACCCCGTCAGCGTACTGCAGGCCCCTCAATGGCTCCCCGCGGGTGAGACCTGCCGAGTTCTCCGTGTCACCGCGGCTGCGCACTGCAGAGGGGCCGAGCTGAAGGGACCTCGTGCACAGAAGAGCTGACTGAGGGGGGTCCCGGAGAGGAAGTCAACACTGAGGCCCGAGCACCTGGTGGGGGCTGTGAGGCGCCCGGTGGCCCCGCCAGGTCACGGCCCCGCCAGGTTACGGCCCTGCCAGGTCATGGCCCCACCAGGTCACGGCCCCGCCAGGTCACGGCCGCGGTACCTGGAGATGGGCACATCATTGCCCTGCTCTTCAGGTGACTGACGGGTGAGTGGCGCCACCCATGGACGCTCCGCATCCAGTCCGTGGCTGGCACAGAGCAGGGCACAGCGCTTCCCGGGTGGGAGATGGGGCAAGGGAACGCGGGGTCTCACTGCAGCAGAGGAGGCCTGGTTTGGCTGGCAGCCAATCAAAGGGAATTAGGTGCGGAATGTTCCAGAAGGCTTCATCTATACCAGTTACAGACTCAAGGGCCCCCCTGTTCTGAGTTTAGGAAAGGGGAGCTGCCTGGACCAGGGAGGCCACGGAGACATTCTTGGAGAAGTAGCTGCAGGGACCTCAGTGAGGCTTCCTGGAGGACAGCACATGGGAGCATGTGTGCACATGCATGTGTGTGCATGAGTGCCTGTGTGCATACCTGTGTGCACAAGTGTGTGTGCTTGCACATGCATGAGTTTTTGCATCTGTGTGCATGTGCATGAGTGTGGGCATGCGTACGTGTGTGCAGGTGTGAGTGTGTGAGTGCAGGCATGCATGTACATGCATGTGCATGGTTGTGTGCACATGCATGTTTGCATGATTGTGAGTGTGTGCATGATTATACGCACATCCGCATACATGTGTGCACACCTGTGTGCATGAGTGTGTGTGCACGTGTGTTGGTGGGGGTTGGGAGACGTTTTCAGAGATCACAGCCCAGTGTAAAGCCTCTACAACTAGACAATGTGGAACCGGCGCACGAACAGCCGGACTAAGAGCAGAGTGGAAAGTGCAGACACAGACCCACGTGCACACGGAAACGCAACCTCCTCAGATCAGGAGGAGGCAGGACACGGACTTCTGAGCACCTGGCGGTGGGACAATCACGTAGCTATTTGCAAAGTGATACAAGAGGTTCACACCTCACTCCACGCACAAGGACAATCCCCCTGGAGGGAGAGCTGAATGCAGAGGTGAAGCCACGGAGTGGCGTGGGGCGCAGGGCGGACTCCTTTACAGCCGGGCGTGGGAGGGACCCTGCCTCTGGGGCTCAGCACCCAGGGCCGCGAGGAGACTGGTCAATTGACCTCCGCTGCGTTGGCACAGCCGTCAGTTACGTGCTGCTGGCGAGAATGCGAAATGTCAACCAGCAGTGGGCCGGGTGCAGTCTAGACCCGCGGTCGCCCACCGGTGGCCCGTGGACCACTGGTGGTCCGTGAGGTCCCAAAGGTTGGCGACCGTGGGTCTAGACCATTTACATCTGATTCATGATCCGGCAAGCCCACTCCTAGGAATGCATCCCAACGAGTCTCGGCAAAAACACACAATAACGATGATGCGAAAGGCGGAGACCACCTCTGGGCAGAATAGCGCCCTCCCCTGGGGGCACGCTGCCTTCCAAAGGGACCCTGCGGTGTGACGAAAGTTACAAGCCTTGAGACAGGGTGACCCTGCCTTATCTGGGGGTGCCATCTGATTACAGGACCCCTAAAGGAAGAGGTGAAGGGCGGGTCAGGGAGATGAGGGAGGAGGAGGGGTGGGGAAGCTGGGAGAGACCGTCCGGCCCCTGCTGGCTCAGAGGTGCAGGGAGGGGCCGGGAGCTGAGGAAAGCTGTTGGCTAAGTCGGGGAGGGTGACAGCCGGCTGGGGTCCCACCAGCACAGGACGTGGCTCTGACCACAAGCCAGCGTGAGCAGGGAGAAGGGACGCTCCTGGAGCTCCAGGCAGGGGCGCAGCGGCTGCCACCCCTGGATCTCAGCCTGTTGAAACCCAGTCAGACGTCCCCTGGGAAGAGCCATCAGCTGACCCGCGGGTGCTGCATAAGCCACACGGGCTTGGCATCTGTCCTGGCAGCGATGGGAAAGGCGTGCCCATCCGATGTCCACAGAGGCAGCCCCACACACGGCTCTGCCACAGCCACACCCGGGGCAGCCACTCGGCTGTGAGAGGAGGAGGGGCTCGCGGGGTGGGGGTGGGGGTGGGGTACGCGCCGTGAGCTCAGGCTGCGTGTCGCCGGGAGCAAGGCCAGCCAGCCAGGTCAGAGGCTGCAGGTTCCTGCAGCTGCTTATGTGACAAAAGGAAAGGACAGACCCAGCCCCGGTGGGGCCGGGAGAGGCGGCGGGCACGGGACACACCTGTGCACACGCCCTCCCATGGGTGTGATGCTGGGATCCTGCAGCGAGTTACAGGCTCAGGAAGAAAGGAGGCTTCAGGGTTTGAACGTGAGCTAAAGAGGGAGGTGCTTTCACAGAAAGCGTTCCCTGCAGATTGAAGCCAGAGGACAAGACCACCCCCCACAGGGCACAGACCTCATGCTGGGAGCTGCTGGTTCAGCCCCCGAGGAAGGACCAGGCTGCCGTGCAGCGTTTGGAGGGCCCATCGCGGTGTAACGCAGGCTGAGGGCAAACCCTTAAACCGCACGCGGCGGTCTCATGGTTAGCGGTACCGCTGAAATTACAATTTTGAAACTCTGTAATAGTCGGATAAAGATAATAAGTAATTATGCTAATATTTCTAAAAAAAACACATTTTTAGTGAAGAGAAACGGTATTTAAAATATAAACTCCAAGTAAAATATTCTTAAATTTGAATTGGAAATATCAGTATGAATTCATGATGTTTCAAAGTGCGTATTTCTCCTCTCCGTCCCCCGGAAAGGCCTGGAAGCAGCCGCCAGCCAGCAGCAGCGAGCACCCCTTCCCTGCCCATTCACTGGGGCAGCCACGGCCCTGGTGGGAGGGCTGGGGTGAGCCCGGGCAGGGAGGGGGGGGTGGTCCTAGGCCCAGGCCTGGTGGGAGGGCCGGGGTGAGCCCGGGCAGGGAGGGGGGGTGGTCCTAGGCCCAGGCCTGGTGGGAGGGCCGGGGTGAGCCCGGGCAGGGAGGGGGGGGTGGTCCTAGGCCCAGGCCTGGTGGGAGGGCCGGG